TAAAGAGGACATACAATTTTTGAATTATTTTGATAAATAAAAAGGTGGTTTAGGAACTGTTATTTAACACCTTAATAATTTAAAATATGAAATTTTCTTAAGAAAATTCTATCATGAAAAATATTTTTTTTATTTTATATTAATAGTTACAATAGAAAAATAATATTTGGAATTTCCTACATGACTTGTGCTTAGGATTTTTTTTGGTGCCGTTTAATTTTTCATGGTAATTTGTTAACCATGAATTATTCATCCGTTGGATTTTGCTGATGTGGCTGTTAGTAGAGTAGCAACATAAAAAGTATGTGAAATCTAATCCTCTTTTTGGAACTTTGCTCCTTCCTTTTTTTGCCGTTAAGATTAGTAAAAAAATATATATATATAGTGATTTTGTCCAATACGTCATATACGCGGTAAAAACAAAATTTAGCAAACACTTATTCGAAATATCATAAGATTTTCATTAACCGTTATTTTTTTTTTTTTAAAATAAGAAAGATTATAAAGATGATCCCAGATTGAATCTAGATCTCATACTTATAACTATCCCAACTTTCCTACCCAACTATTAGGCTAACCCTAATGATTTACTTTTGAATTTACTTATTTAATTAAATAAATAACATTTTAATATTATATTAAATATAAACATTTTCTCTCAATATGCATTCAACAAAAATCAAATCAAATCTTTTAAATTACTACCATGTTTATTTTATTGTAACTACAAATTTTAAAAATCATTCGAATGATTTTAGGCATTGACAACTAATATTTTTTAATTATTAATGTATTTTTAGATTTTATTATTTTTAATTTGTAGATGTTCTTTTAATTTTTTTGAATTGTATCGGTAAAATTTAAAATAAACTTAAAAAAGAGAATTTACTTGGAAAATTTTGATTAACCTAAATCTAAAATATATTATTATTTGAATTTAAATTAAGATATATTATATCATTGTCTTCTTTAACATTTGTAATTTTGCTACAATTTAAAATATTAAACATTGAAATTTTATTTCATTTTGTATTGTGTTATTTTTTTTCTTCTATATTTCAAAGGAAAAAAGGATTTTGTCACGCATCTAAACAGTCTCAGAGTAAGGATTTTTTGTTGGGTACACAATAAAGTTTAATTGTTTTGAATCTAAACTATTATTGTTCAAATTTAAAACTGAGACAGTTTTATATCACATTATTATCATGATAATTATTATTATTATTTAATTTAATATATTTAATTTTATTATTAATTAAAATATTTTATTTTTAAAATTAATTTCATCTTATACAATATTTTTTCCCCTATATTGTGTTAGGTATAACTTAGGGTGAAAAAATCACTAAGCATATTTTTAAAAAATGATATAGCATAAGATCCACCAGCCTCCATAGATTTATGTTTTTGTGATCCCTGTACCAAGGATCTTAGGTTTTGAACCTCCAAAATATCATGAACATGAATTGAAAGTGTAAGCATATTTTATCGTACTATAAGGAAAAGAAAAGAAATAAATGAAGTTAATTTGAATAAGAAATGCAAATATAAGAAAAATAGTTTAAGTACTTGTATTTTTTAACTAGAGATTGAGATTTAACTCTCAATTTAATCATAAAATCGTAAATCATTATTAAAGTATTATTTTATTCTTAAAAAAGAGTTATGCCTCTTTATCATTTTACTCCTGTGAAGGCTAATCCAATAAAAAAGAGTTATTCTTCTTTATTAAAAAAAAAAATATGAGCTTGCAAAGTGATACAATTCTACGAAGGTTGAAGGGCCTTGCAAGGAAATGATACAATAATGGTGCTCTAAGGGAAGATTGGGTGCTCAACCAACAAACATGAGAAGAGAGAATGATATGCAGTGACTTTAGGGCTTCCAACACATTAAAAAAAAAACAATTTTAACATAATATTAAAATTGATTTTAAGGTAAAAGTGATTTGAATCACTATAAATTTTTTCAAATTCATTTTTGGTATTCCAAATACTTTTTGTATGCAATAAGTCATTCTAAAAAATAAAACATGATGAGATTGATTCTTAGTTGTACTTTTAGAAAGACAAGTCTTGTACACATATTTTAGTAAATAAAGATAGGCCTTATCAAGTTTTACTTTTAGAGAGATTAATTTAATAATAAAAAAAAGAGAATTAAAAATAAAATTTATTTTTTTTAGAGGAATTGACATTTAAAAGTAACTTTTACCCTTGATTTTAATAAAATTATGTATATGGATTTAAAATGAAAAAAGTTTTCCTTCAAATTGTTGATAGTGGTGTAGAACGACTGTTCTCAAGGGTTTGTTTAAATTTTAATATAATTTGCTATATTTTAATCTTTCATCAATACTTAAAAGCGAAAGTTTTAATTTTAAGCGTGTGGTTCAGTGGTAGGGGTTGATCCACGCTTAATCAAGGTAAGGGGTTCGAATCTTGCCTTGTGTATGTAGCCGCGTTATATCTTGGGCCCAATTATCCCACCTTTTGAGGTGCCTCCAACATAGCGAGGAGATTAGTCACTGCTATCGGCGATGAATACTCCAGGGACGAAAAAAAAAAAGCAAAGGTTTTCCCATTTGATGTAAATTCATAGTTAATCATGTTTGATGTGTTAATTTGTCTCATTAGGTCACATAAGATAAATAAAAAAGTAAAATTAATTTTTCTTAAGTATGATGGTGAATAGTACTATATATATGTAAATGGTGTTCATAAGTTAGGGTGACCTTTGAATATGAATTGACTTAATTATATTGGTTGAATTTTTTGAGAAATCAGGTATTACCTAACCCAATTCATTTATACTAACAAATTTTAATTTTTTAAACTCATTCATACACCATACAACACGCAATAGATTCAAATACTCTATTCATGTTCACTAATCAACTCACAAGTCAACATATAAACATAATACAACTCGTGTCCGACACCATTGAGGTAGGGGACTCTTTGTCTTGCCTACGTCCAATGCCATTCAACCCATGACTAGCATGACCAAGGTAGGGAACCCTTGGGACCTCACGCTTGGCATGGAAAAATCTACGTCAGCCCTCATATCAAGCAAAGAGTCTCTGCTAAACTCATGTTTAACATCACCTCAATGGCGCTCGATGCTGTCTAGACATAGAGCCTTTGCCTTGATCACACTTGACGTTATTCAATTGGGGCTCAACATCACCAAGTTAGAGACTTTCTAGAGCTATCACGCTTGACGACATTCGACCCACGTCCGATGCGATATCAGAAATTTGCAAATGTAAATAAAAAAAATTTACCTTAACCTACTTGAAATCTAGAAACTTCCAAGCATGCCATGTATCAAATCATACATATACTTCAAAAGAAACTCAAATCCCAACTCATAATATGTCTACAACCACAAATTTAAGTAAACCACCAAAATCACTCAAATAGTTAAAAAACACCAAAAGTTCACCCTTTTCACCCCTTTAATCCGAATTGAATCAAAACAACTATACTTTGATCAAAATCAAACAACAAACAAATCATACAACTCATTACAAGCAAGATACTAGCTTCCTTTATCTCTACTTCGAGCTACCAGAAAGACGAAGAAGAGGAAGAAGAATGAAAACAAGCTCTATGGCCACATCGATCCTCTAGCTTCAACACAATCTTAAGCCTCACAATTTCGGATCACTACACCAAGGATCATTCAAAACTTTCACGTCCAGGAAATCTAGAAAAAGAAGAAGAAGAAAGATTTTAGAACCAAAGCTTCTCTCTCTAAGATTTATGAGAACATGAACTTATGAATCTTAGTTCTAAACATAATTCTTATATTACTTTCTCTCGAGGTCAACTAGACCTCTAACCAGAGACTCTCACAACACACTATTTACTTAAGTGTAATGTTACAACTAAAATTAAATTAAATTATTATAATTAAATATTAATTTAATTAAATAATATTTTTTATTTATAAAATGATTTGTGTTTTAAACAATATTATTTATTTAAAAGTTGTTACTTATTTTAAAATAATTTTCCATATTATATCATCACACTCTAATAAAAGTTACTAATAAATATCATTATTTATTAATAAGATACACTACAAATAATGTAGATGCTTGACCAAAAGTTGAATAACGTGATTCTTAGTCAAGGCAAGGGTAGAGTTTGATATACGTACGGTCAATTAACTCCACATAAATCTGCAATATGAATTGTATCCGCACCGCGTAGTCCTACTAGACAATTTTGGTACATTGAAATTTGCAATATTATGGTACCCTTTATAAAATAGCACAAAGGGTAGATTTATTATTGTTTGAGTCACGGCCCGCAAAAATAAAATCAATAAAAAACAAAATACTCAATCAATAAATTATCGTAATAGAAAAATTCTCTTTATACATAAATCAGTAATACACCCTAGTAGATAAATCCTCGTATTTATATATTAAAATAACTTTTCTAAACAAATTTTTTTTTAGAAATTAATCTTCAACTAAAACATTTTATTAAATATAATCTTATCATATCTTATCTCAGGCCCAAGGCCCAAAGCAATCATAATTCACACTAAGGTACGTGCATTATTTATACGAGATTTATACTCCCACAAACACTAACTTTAGCATCGGAGTCTCTTTTGCAGATACCACCCCCATCTTGGAGCACCAGCGTACCAGTGAAGGAGGCTCACTGCCAACAAGGTGGGCACCAACGTTGATGCCATAATCTACATCAAGGATAGGATTAAAATGGTTTTCTGTATATTTATCAGCATTATTTCTTCAGGAGTACTGTGACATAATATAGATATATAATATAGTACACTGATTGTAATATAACTTGGGGCAACAACCTTGAGGCAAAAATGACATCTACAAGGATATATGCACTTGGATACTGAATATCTATTTTATTTTGCTGAGAGAATCGTTTGGAAGTTCGAATGTGAGTTTTGAATCTCGGTTATCATACAGATATAATTTTAATTATGATGGGCATGCATATGTACTAACCTGTTGATACGTGGACAAGCACTTTTAGTTTAACACATTTTTTGCCGAAGCTCAACACATGCTTAGCTCCTAATGTATTTATACCCAATGCAACATCATATCTGCATTTAATAGGCAAAAATAGACGATTATTTATAAATGTGAACACAGACACACATGCATGTACGTATATGGACTTATATCATATTACCGAACCACTATGCGATGAGGTTGAGATAAATGCATGGTGACTTATATCACCTTGAATATATATACCTTTCATCAAATTTGGTTGTTGCAGCCAAATTAACTATAACATCCGTTTGATTACAGATCTCTTTCCCAAGAATGGAGTCCTTCAAATTCAAGTCCTCTTGAGAAATGTCTCCAGGCACCACATTCAACTTTTCTGAGACAAAGGAATCAAAACTTGTACCCATCTTTTCCTTCAGCAATCTAAATAAGTCCTTCCCTATTATCTGCGTACAAATGCAATTCGATAGTATTAAAAAATTCGATGTCATTAATTATCAATTGTAATAACAAAATTATTCATTTGTGCGTACTCGTCAACTGAGTACAAGCACATTCATATTAGTGGCACTTGAGAGATGAAACTCGGGCGAATCTTTAATTTTACATTTTACATTTTACATTAAATACATTGGAAAGGTTGTTGTGATATGATATATTTTAAATTTTTGATAACTTGACGAAAGTTAAAGAAAGTTGTAACATTTGTGCATTCACCTCATTGTGTAAGCGTTCAGTAGCAGATTCAGTATCTTTGGCTCTCAAAAGAAGATAAAGTTTCTTGACATTTGGTTGAGCCCTCAATATTTTCTCCACAAAAACTGCAAAATCATACAAAGGAACACATGCTAACTATAATATATATATATATATATATATATATATCAAGTTAAAATAAAATGAAAGATCCTCAAACCTCAATTGTACTATTTTTCTCATGTTAAGTTTCCATGCCATGCATAGATTAATTATCAACTTCATTAGGACCCAACAAGATACTTAACTTGGTTACTTCTCATTTATATTATTTTTAGTTTGTTATGACATTTGCCAACTAGGTCATATTAGACCAATCGAGGAATAACATTTGAAATCATTTAAAAATTTATGAAAATTTAAATATTTTCTTACTATCACATTCTAAAAATAAATAATTAAATAAACATAATTAGATCAAGTGATTTTTATTTCAGATTCAATAAAGCTTGTAAATGTCACAAATGAAGCTAGATAAAAAATACAACAAATTAGTTGTTACACACTTTTAGGATGCTTAAAAAAGTTATCCTCTCGGTGATTTTATTTTTCTCGACAATCAAAATATGGTCTATTTGGCTTATAATCATGTACTTCATGCCCACACCAAGCACATGGAGGTGAGTATTTTTTTATTTTTAATATATAAGAATTGATTATATTATTTTAACTTAAATTTGGTTTAGTCACACGTGTAATTGTTCCGAGCTTAAAAAAATGGGCCAAACCGTAACTAACCCCGTGCATGAGTTGAGATGGATTTCTAAAGTTGAAGCCCAGATTTATTTTGGGTTGCCTTAACCCAATTTTTTATTGGTCATGAAAAACTTATTTGCTCAATTTATTTATCTTTTTATTTTTTTATAATTATAAAATCACAAATTATAAATTAATGCTACATATTTTGTTACGTCAAATTCAAGGTTAATATTATATATTTACCGGATTTTATTTTTAATTTCAAGCATTTATTTATTGTTTCAATATTATACATTTTATGTTTTTATTATCATGATGATTATATTTATTATTTTTATCAACAAAAATAAAATTTATAACAATATATAGAAATAATATTTTTCAAAGACATTTATACTCCTATTTTATATTTAAAAAAAAACATTTTATAAAATAAATAATTACTCACTTAAAAGTAATCACTAATTTTTTTTGAGATGCAAAATACTTTTTTCGCTCCTAATTATGATAATAACAATAAAATCCACACTTAAATTTATGTTTACAATATCTCAAATTTTCTAAAATTAGGCCAATTTTAATGATTTTTATATTATTTTTATAATACATATGAAAAATTAAAAATATATATTGTTTGTGTTTATTAATTTTGTATGCTATATAGTTATGAAAGTTTTTAAATTACTTTAAAAGAGACTAAATTAAATACCAATGAATAAAATATAATATTTTTTTTAACATAAACAAACCACATATATTTTGATATATTAACAAAATCAATCAATGTTTTTTTTAAGAAATTTAATATATTAAAGTTAGTAACCGTTATTTTTTTTTCTTTACAAAAAAGTTTTAAGTATTTATTATTGATAAGTGAATTTCAAAATAAATAAATTAAAAGAAATCTTTTTTATAAATATTATAAAGGAGATATTGAGATATATAACCAATTTTTATCTTATTTTTTAATAAACTATTATACTCTTTAAATATAAAAAAAATTATTCTATTTTCTTTAAATAATTAAATATAATATTTTAATATTTTATCTATATATATAATTATTTGAGACACAAATTTATATATTTATATATATTATAAAGAGAATATTAAAATATATAACCATATTTGATCTGTACTTTTTAATAGATTATTATATTTTTTAAATATAAAAAAATTCTTATATATATTTTAAATAATTATATATAATCTTTTAATATTTTATCTACATAATTATTAGAGACCGAGTTGTCTTCATCCTTATATAAATAGAAATCCTCAAACCTAATTAGGGTTATGAGACGGAGAATCCTGGATTGCTTGCAGCATTGACCTACCTTCCTCTCTCTCTCTCGTTTCGCTAGGGGTTCAAGTGTTCTCTTGTTCTCTCTAAGAACCAGGTATCTTCCAAGTCTTCTATTTGTGACGTTCATCTTATATTCTGTTCTCTTTTCCATCTGCATCAGTGCAGTTGTAGCGTTTTCGATTTTTTTAATCTATCCTTTTACTCTGGGTGGAATAATGGCTTTATTTGATGGAGAGACAATCTTCTTAGAATTTCTTTTTTAAAATATTTATCTTATCTATTTAATTGATGGTTGCGGTGCAGTTGATAATGAATCTTACTTTTGCAATTTTTTTTTAATTCTGACTCCGTTTTCTCCATTCGCCGAATTGTTACTCTGTTTTAAATCTTCTGTTGAATGCCTTGTGTCCAAATTTTGTCTCACTGATTTTTTGTGCCTTTTGGTCGCACTTCGGGGGGAATAGACCTTGTTCAATCGGAAAACAGTTTCAATTTGGTAAATTTTCTTTGTGATAAGTAATAGGTTTATGTGGGAATATGGGATTATGCATGTGCGATATTTTTTGCTTTAATTTAGCCTTTTTTATTTTATGAGAAAGGGAATAAGGGAGGGAGGATGGTCAGAGACTGACAAACGTAGTATTTTTTGTGCTGGTTATGTATATATCTAAACGTATATTTTGTTTCCAGGAGTTGAGTGATATTCAACAAAATGGGCGAGGCTGGAAAACGATACTATTCATATAGAGACTATGATGGGGACAGGAAGAATCAAAAGAGACGCATGAATGACAGAGATGATAAGGGCAATGATGAATTGGTTGTTTATAGGATACTCTGTCCAGACGAAGTAATTGGTAGTGTTATTGGGAAGAATGGGAAAGTGATAAATTCGATAAGGCAAGAAACCAGGGCGAAAGTCAAGGTTGTGGATCCGTTTCCTGGTGCCAATTATCGGGTTATAATGATCTACTGCTATGTTAAGGAGAAGGAAGATGTTGAGATTGACGAAGAGTTCGCCGGAAAACAACCCTTGTGCACTGCTCAAGATGCTCTTCTCAAGGTTCATGGTGCCATTGTGAATTCCATTGCAGCTCTTGGAGATTCTGAAAAGAAAAGAAAGGATAGGGATGAATGTCAAATCCTTGTTCCGTCAAGCCAGTCTGCGAATATCATTGGCAAGGCTGGGACTACCATTAAAAAGCTGAGAAGTAAGACAAGAGCAAACATCAAAGTTACTGCCAAGGATGCAGCTGATCCATCACACTCATGTGCTATGGAATTTGATAATTTTGTCATGGTTAGTAAACTTACTTTTGAGCGATTTATTGCTTTGTGTCATAATAATTTCCCTGATTAGAATACTAGCATCTAATCCTCCCCCACTGACACATGCCAATATTAATATTTTATTTATTAATAATGTATGGTATCATCACTGATTCAATGGCATATAAGTCTTTACAGTTTGTCTTTCTAATTGTAAGCATTTAACTTGATCATATTTCTGATTCTGTGCTGACTTATGTATGCATTTTTATTTTTTCACACTAGTGTGCAAGCAACTGTGCATCTTGAGATGTCATCTGTAAACAATGTAATATGGATGTCTTATTTTATTTATGTGATGACCATTTTTCATGGTTGTCTACTAGAAAGACTAGTGACAAGACAACTGTGTCAATAATGAATAAATTACAAATTTAGAATACATTTCTTGAAGTGTTTTGCTTGTTTTGTTTTTTTAAGAACTTTCAGTTGTTTTGACGGGTCCCATCCTGAATACTTCATCCTTAGAATATAATATCCTTTGACCGAAAGAGGTGAAGGAATGTTCTATGCTTCTTAAGACTGTAATCTGAAAGTAAATTTCAAACCACAACAGGTGTATTAAACAGGGAAGGTTGAATTTTAACTTCTTCCTTAGAATATAATCTCTTCCAGGATAAGCTGTGGTTTTTTGTTGTTGAAACATATGCTTTGTCTGAAAGATGTGAAGGAATGTTCTATGGCTCGAGATTGTAATCTGTTAGAAAATTTGAAACCACATCAGGTGTATTAAACAGGGAAGGTTGAAGTTTGCAATGCTTTTCTGTTCCCAAAACCTTCTACTCTCTCAACAGTAAGCATAATTATCAACAGTGGCAAATAGCGCTGCTATCTTGTCATAGTGGAGCACCACAACTGTCAGCCATTACAGGAAACTCTTAGCATTATGTTTTTGTGTCACATCAATAGCAGCCAATATTGCAAAATCTTATCATATGTCATATTTTTATCATATTTTTTTTGTTTTTCATTTGTCAAGACATGTACTTTTGCAGCAAAATTGTACCTTACTATATTGTTGCTTTCTCTGTGAGTAGATTGCTGGTGAATCAGAAGCCGTTAAAAGAGCATTGTTTGCAGTTTCCTCTATTATGTACAAGTTTGGTCCCAAGGAGGACATCTCTCTTGACACAACTGTACCAGAAGCCCCAGCCAGTATTATTATTCCGTCTGATGTTCCTATTTATCCTCCTGGTGGACTATATCCCACTTCAGATCCTATTGTCACACCTAGAGCAGTTTCTCAAATTATGGGCACAACAAATATACAAGATCTACAAGGTTATGCTGATGCCGGAAATACATGGCCTCTGTACACATCTGCCCTTCCAGTTGTTTCTGGCACTGGTGCTTCCCGGTCCGAGGAGTTAATTGTTAGAATGTTGTGTCCCTCTGACAAGATTGGGCGTGTCATTGGGAAGGGAGGTAGTACAATTAAAAGTATGAGGCAGGCAAGTGGTGCACATATTGAGGTTGATGATTCCAAGGCTAATTATGATGAGTGTTTGATCATTATAACTACAACAGAGGTGAACTATCTTTAGCCTTTTTACATTTTTTTTTCTGTAACATAAAATTGATCATCCAATAATTGTTAGAGTTCATGATGTACCCTTGTGTATGTTTGATTAGCATATATGTTTTTCTTTTGGAAAGTATATTATAATCAAAATGCTAGAGTGCTTTGGACTAGAAACCTTTTGAGAGAAAAATAATTAAAACAATGTATGTTGCTGTTCAGATGGAATTATTTTGACAATCACAATTTATCAAGGAATTTTTTGGTTATTTTAATGAATTTATTTCATAGGACCTTTCAATTGATAAGTCAATTGATTATATCAATTGAATACCACTAAATTTTGACACCTTTAGAAAATCCTGATACTTATGGCAAAAAATCTCTTAAAACCCCAATCCAATACACCCTTCATACACTTGTTAACAACATTCACGAAAGAAACCAGAAGGAAAAGGAAACCAAGGGTGTTTTTCAAAAAATATTGACACATCAAGATTTTTACATGTTAATCTCTTAAAGCTAAAATGTGTCAATTGCACTGTGTCAGTATATGTGAATAGTCATTTTGTAAGGTGGAAATCAATTATACAGTTTTGCTACAGCTTTTGTGCTCTGAATCCTTGGGCTTATATATATGGTTAATGTGCAGCCAGTTCAGGTGTACAAATAGATATATTTGGTATCCTAATTTTGGGTTTTCATGAAACTTCTTCAAATTGTTGAATTTCATTCAGTAAGTTTGATTAACTAGTTTGTGGATTTTGTGTTCCCATATTCTCTATTCTTTGCATATAGTTAATTAATTTTCCTTTTCCAAAACATTGATTATATATACTTATGTAGTCTTATTTTATTGTTATAAAATGGAAAATGATCATACGGATATGTATTTTGTAGTCGCCAAGTGATCTAAAGTCCATGGCTGTTGAAGCTGTTCTGCTGATGCAAGGGAAGATAAATGATGAAGATGATACCATTGTTTCAATCCGGCTTCTAGTTCCTTCAAAAGTGATAGGTTGTATAATTGGTAAAAGTGGTTCAATCATTAATGAAATTCGCAAGAGAACTAAGGCTGATGTTCGAATCTCTAAAGGTGATAAGCCAAAATGTGCAGATGTGAATGATGAACTTGTTGAGGTTTGACTTTTCTCACTTCTTGTTTTAACAGTATATTTTTTCAGAAATTCTATTTGGTATGAAAGCTTTTTATATGTTTGACAACCAATCATGATTGGAGAGGAAAAAAAAGCAAAACTGGAAAGTAAATGGGTAACTGATAAATGCAACTTTTTTAAATAAATTTCATGTTTCATGCTTTAAGACTCATTAATAACAGTGATACGGCTTGTCACTTTTCATATTTATTAAATTCAATACCTTTTGGGATTTAGGTGGGTGGCTCAGTTGATTGCGTGAGAGATGCACTAATCCAGATTATATTAAGACTCAGGGATGATGTATTGAGAGAAAGGGATACCGGCCATAATCCTTCTCTAGGTGCCGCCGATTCATTGTACTCAGGTACTGCTGGTTTTTCTTTGCCATCTGTGTTGCCTTCAGTTCCTCCTGTTGCTGCTCCGTTGGTTTATGATCAGAGGGCTGAAAGTGGAGCCGGCTTGGGCATGCTTTCTTCAAGCAGCCTTTATGGATATGGATCTTTGTCGGTATGTCATATTTTTCTTGCCATATGGTCATAATATGTTGTGATAATTTTTTACAGGGATATAATGATTTATTTTTCTCTTTTTCTAATACAACATGCTAATAAACAGCTTTCAGTATTTTTTTGTTGCATGTTTATTTCATGTTTTGTTTCTAATAGTGTCACTAATCTTTTTCTTGATTGATTATATGTATTAGATGGGGGAAAGTGGCTATGGATCCTTGTCATCGTATACCACCAAGCTGTATGGAGGGTTAGTATACATTTATATAACAATTATGTGAACCCTTTACAACTGATTTAGTGTTTGTTTGGACTGGTATTTGCAAAATTGATTTTGGATAAACTTGATTTTTGTAAAACTGGTTCTGCAGTGGAGTGATTTGTATTTGGATGCCTTTAAGACTAATATTTTGGTTAGAAACATATCCAAGCCGATGTAAAAGAGACTCACTTTCGCTGACACCATGGTGTGAGAGTGAGAATGATATTCTATTAGACACCCCAACTAGACTTTTGCCTAACAGTTGAATTGAGGATGATTAATCAATCAATTGTGCACTTAAACTTCTATTTTAGATTTCTCAACTCTATATTAAATTGGTTGAACTTATGTTTTTATACTCTTATTGTGCACAGTTTCCCTCCCCCATCAGCTCTGGATATCTTGATTCCTGCTAATGCTGTTGGTAAAGTGTTGGGTAAAGGAGGGGCAAATATAGCCAATATCAGGAAGGTTGGTTAACACGTCCTGAATTTATTATTCTGTTTTTGTTATTGCAGGGTGAACATTTTTTTTATTTGAAATTATCTATTGTTTTTACTTTTCTTAAAATCATTTTGTAGTTTGGTTCTTGCTGCTGTATGTCACTCACTGTACGCATTTCAGCTGTGATGAACTGAAAAGAGTTACTTTTCTTAAAAATTTCATATCATGCATTTCAGTGAGTGAAGAGAATCGGTTAGATGATATCCAACCAAAAGGATGGATTCTAAATGGTTTTGCTGAGTATTTGGGTGTTGATTGATCCATGTAACCAACTTACCCATTAGGATATGTCCAGGTTGTATTATTAATTTTCGTTATTTTTAGTTCAGTTCTTGGTGGTGTGATATTATTGATTGCTCACTTACACTGATTCAATTTACTCGAGTTATTCTAGGAGGTATGAGACATCCAAATTTTCATCATATGAAGTGATTTGTCTAGACGAAAACTCTGTAACAACTAATTAGAAAATTAAATGGTTAAGGGCTTTTGTAGTCTTTGATCAGCAATGTTTTTCAGTTTTTCACATTTGCTATGCCATAAAATCATTTTGTCACATGTCATCTAATGAGGTCATTTCATGCAATCTATTCTATGAAATGTTTTCTTTTTCTTATTCTTTTTTATCCACGAGGTATACAATAAAAGTTGTATATTTACTTGTTCTGTATGATGTCAGGGGCTAGACTAGTTGCCATAATTGAGTTTATTTAACTTTGGTTTATGATGAAATACAATTTGTTTATACTCCCATACCCTAATACATGTAAAATACAAAATTTTCTTCTTTTGATACCTATTTAATGCCTTGTTTTGCACCAGATTTCAGGAGCTACAGTAGAGATATGTGACTCGAAATCTGTCCGTGGTGATCGTATTGCTCTTGTATCTGGCACACCTGAACAAAAGCATGCTGCTGAAAACTTAATCCAGGCATTTATAATGGCAACCTGAATTATTGAAGTTCTTTCTCAGGGTTGAAGGTGAAAAGTTTAATTCTTGAAGTATGTTCTTGTTTCTCTCCTTAGTTCTCTTAGGTTGGTCCCGGAGAGACAATGTTCTCTAGTGTTCATCAGCTAGACTCCTGCTTCTTCCACAACAGTGGCTAACAAGATTGGGCTTGGGGATCCATTGCTGGTTTTGTATGTAGGAATTATAGTTCCTTTCCTTTTGTTTCCTCTTATTCTACTCTCATCTGGGTTTTATCTTTAGAAATCTAGGATCTCTCTGCCCTTTCATGATGTTTGTCTTGGATTAGTTTGGTGTCATCTCAATGTCCTTAAATTATTCAGTGGAACCATAAAGCGATGTTTATTATGTTTCTGATGGTTCACCCTCTTATTCTCCTTGCTGAAAATATCTTCCCTATTGACGCAAAATGAGATGCTGAGTCTCTAAGCAATCTGCACTTTCTCATATCCTTGGCTATCCAAGTAATTATTCAGAAGTGGGAAGTTGTCTCATGAATTCAAAGGATTTCAGAAAATCCTAGATCTTTTTCTCCCCTCTAATTCTATTTCCATATCTTGTAAGCATGAGGGCATTTACCGCTAGATATAACCATCTCATTATCTCACCAAACATGATTCATTAAATATATGTATCACAAGCCAGAAGCCATATTTTTCATAGTTAAAAAAATCATTAAAACAGAGAGAAGGTAAATATAAAGTAGGAAGATACGGCTTCCTTCCTCCTTTGCATATAAAGGAAATACAAGAACATGAAAGAACAAAGAAAAGTGTCATGAGTTGACTCTTGGATGGTTGAATGATCTCCACTACCGTCTTGATTCAACATTAATCCCTGAATGTTACAGAATTCAAGCTATTTTGTTTTTTAATCGAGTAGCACTACTCATAAATTATCTGAAAAGCGTTATTCTATTTTGAAACTTGTATGCTTTTCATTGTAATCTGTCTTGTGATGGATGTCACTCACAAGAAATATTTACTAAGAGGTGTCTCCAGTGGAATTTGAACCCCTGCACTGGAGGTAAAGTTTGCTCACGCAGAGCTCAGTTTGTCAGCTGAGCCACAGATGTCACATTTTAATGTTGCTAGCCTTCTCTTCCATTATGATGCAAAATTGTTTCATTCGATCTTCTAAATTCTATGAAGGGTGGCTTTTGAATTTATACTATGATCTAATCGATCCCTTTCTGGCTTATTTGTTTTCCTGTTTACAGCATAAAATTTTGTATTCCTAGTAAACTTAGATTATAGTTATGGTTACATGGATAATACCTTGCCCTATATAATTAGTGATCTCACCCTACCCAAGTAAATTATATCTGTGGGCAATAGCTTTGGTTTATTATTATATGACTAAACGTCTAAATTATAGGATGCGGCAAGATTACATCTTATTTCAGAAACATTATCCTTGTATCCGTACTGCCTTCTTGTGTTACACTGCCTCATCCAAATTACTTGTTGCCACGTTTCAACATCAGTGTGCTTGGAATTCCTTGACTCTTTTTCAAATGTGATGCGCCTCTTTCTTCCTTTCTATCTATTATAATATTCAATTAACTTGATGCTTCTCTGATTTTCCTAGCAAGTTTGAAGTACACTTTTTCTTTGTTTTTCATTAGCCATCTAGTTTATTGAACTCTCACCACGATCGTCTCGGCGTAATTATGCTCGTTAAAATGTTTTTAAATCTTTAAAAGGATATAATACTATACACGTGGATTAATTCTCCCGTTGTTCTAGCTAGCTGTAGATTTTTGAAAAGTATAATCACTCATTCTTGTTCCTGTACGGAGTACTGTCCGTTCTTTTTTGCAAAAGCCTTGATTATTCTGCTAGTAGTATCAGTTAAGATGTCTGCTTGAGTTTGAGTTTGGTCGTTTAGTCTTTGGTTTTTGATGGATAGAATTTCAGAGATTGATAATGTTCTTCACTGTGACATTGTCTCGGAGGTTGGGTATGGTTCTTTGAGGGCCAGTACGTAGTCGAAGTTAATATTAGAAGTCTACTTGTTAATTATGACTGTTTTGTATATAAATTTGCATCTATGGTGCACATTAAGTAGCTCAAGTATAGTGCTGTTATTCGTGTATGTATTTACATTTAAACTTCACCCTTCGTAAATTAGTACATGTTAGGCGCCTCAGTTCCTTTGATTTTACGTCGTTTTTGGCAAATGGTTAACGTTGATTTGTGTTGATCTGTTAAATTCTACGTCGTCTTGATTTTTTTATTATTAATTTTATAGAGCCTTCAATGTTTTACATAATTTGTGATATTGACTTTTTAATTAACCGAAAATCACATTGAAATATTTTTATTGCATATTTTTTCATAACTTTCGATGAAATTTAGAAATACAATCTTATTTTTAGTATAACTTTGAATTGGTGGGGGGTTATTAGTTTCGAGTTCACTGTGCCCCTCATTTCTTTTTTCACTGTTATTCATTATTTTTACAAACAATTATGCGATTGACTTGTTGAGATATTGGTTGCTATTTTTCTTGTTAAATTGGGGTTTATTTTTCACTCGAACTCGAGAATGTTATAGTTAGAATGGTCATAAAACATTGCGTAGCTGGTATAAACTCACCGTGGAGAAATAGAAGTTGTAAATTTATGGTATACCAGCTACCACGCGCTCGTAGGGGCAACTCGAATTTAAACATGCAAATAGATGGAAGAATAATGGACAGACATGTTTTTTAAATTTATTTATGTTTAATTATTTGCTAGTTTAATAACTAATAAATGATTATTTGTATATTTTTTATTATTACTAATATTAGGATAACGGTGGAAGGTAATGGTTTGGGTTTAACGTTTTAACTAAATTAAAATGTGCTAATGTGATTGGAGGCTGCGTAAGAAACATTTTGTGGGAGTTGTGATTTCATTTCACTGCTCGGTTCTGTCTGTTCTATATGCCCTCCTATTTCTAGTGTTTATGTTGAGGTCATTATCAGTAACAAGTCTTGGCAGCATGTGATCTATGTTTTAATCTGAGTGCATTGACTAATACCATTTAGATGTCTATTACTTTTGTTACTAGTTTTTTCAATTGATCTCACCATTCTATTTTTAATCTTTTTTTTTTTTAATTTTTAAATTACTCTATCTGAACAAGACAAACAGTGCGTGTTTGTTGCGAAAATGTATTAATTATTTTTATTTTAGAAATTTAGTTTTGTTAAACGTTGAAATTTTTTTTCAAAATTAAAATTTAGTTGGTGTTTATAAAACATTTTGGAATTAAATATTTGGTTGGGAATATTTGTTCTATAATTTTTATCCTGCAATGTGTTAAATATACTTTTAAAACTCTTGTAGACGTACTTTAAATAAAATTAAAAGAAACAATTTTTTTTGTTATTTACTATATATTTTTGGTAAATGTAATGAGGGAAAGTGGAGTTCCAATTCCAACGTAGAAAGCAACTGTAGTAGGTTGTGAAGTGTATGATTTATACGTGTACGCAACCTGATGTCCCTACTGATGTATCTCCACACAAAAAAAAAGAAAAAGGAAAATGCTATTTCCTCTGATTGTGAGGCCGAAAATCCTCCGAATTTTAACATATTAAATTAAATGAATATTTTACTTCAAATCATTGACAAGTGTCACATTTATTGGGCTATAGAATGATGGTTTCATTAAAAAGAATATTCCGTGAATGAATTTTCTACTTGCAACAAATAAAAAGTAACGATTATTAAATGGTAGGAATAATGATAGAAAGATTGAGCAAATCTAAATATTTTTTGCAATGTTAGTAATTATTAAATAGAGTTGTGAATGGAACGACAGTGTATCGTGGTGACTGGTGACGGTGTATTATTTAGCAGTAGTTGATTGATGAAAGAAATCCAAAAGTGTGATTATTGTATCCAATCCAATAATAACACGTGGGCTGCTGATATTGATAAGCTTGTAAGTTGTGCCAAAAAGATAGACGCCCGCCGCTGATGCACGAGGCCCAATACAAATAATATGAGTTAATAAATTAAAAAAATGAATAGATTTTAAGATTTTGTAAGTCGAGAGAAATAGAAAAAAATACAAGGAAAATACATATATTTGTATTAATATCCTTCTACAATTTCAAATCTAAAGGACAGATTCCACGTTTATATTAAGTTTAATGGGTTCTACAATTCTCATCATCTCGAAGGATATTTTTTTTTTCTTAGTATTGATCACACTAATTTTATTGTCTCTTCTACGACATTTTTCCTTTCAAATAACTTAGTGTGTTTGAAGGGTGATAAATTTACCTTTATTTTGTATTCATCATAACTTTTATAATTAAAATTAAATACTACTAAAAAATCACTTTCTTTCATATACTTCTTTTTCACTTATTTCGAAATACGTAAAATGTGATAAAGAGATAAGGATTAAAAGAATCATCATGTTAATCTAACAATAAAATATTTAAATAATATGTACAAGTTTTTATATTTAAATTTTGTTGTCGTTGTTGTAAAATAACACATAAATGTATTTTTTTAACATGTTAGAAAGTTTAAATTTAATACAATGTTAATATATATATATATAT